TAGCCTTTTTTTTTTTTTTTTTTTTTTTTTTTAAGAATCTAACCAGAAATGCCATGTGGGAGGGAAAAAGGAACAGGGCATTTCCAAAAGCCTCAAAACAAGGTAATGCAAGTCTCAAAACTTTTTCCTTCACTTAGAGGAGTGCAAATCTCTACATTTAAAGGTAAATTACGTTTGCTTAAGCAGGAGCCCTCTCCAAAAAAGCAGATGCACATCAACCTACCACAGCGATCCAAACTGGTATTTCTGGTTGGGGAAACAGGATGTATGAATTCCTGCAAACCTCGAGCTGCTTCTTCTATTCTATGGTTGTTCATAATGTGCATAGGTCCCCAACATCCCACACTCGGGATTATTAGGGGAGAAAGGGCCAAAGAGCCAGAAGGTGGGGCGGGCCGCCCAACTGTCCACGCGCCCCTCAGGCTGCAATGGGTGCGTCTGCGGTCAGGTTCTCCGCTCCCTCCCATGGCACCCCACCCCACGCTCCGCGTGTGTGGGGGCAGCTACCGATTCCAGCTCCCTCCCGGACGCGGGGGCGAGCTGGGAGAGGCCATCCTGCTCCCCCACCCCCAATTCCTCACCAGTAGCAAAGGGAGGGCGTGAGACTCGGAGGCAGGAGGGTTAGCCCCGGAGGGAGACCCCGCTCGCTGCCCAGCATACCTGGCTCTCGGCTGCGGGGATGCCGGACTCGAGCTCGCACAGCGCGCGGAAGTTGTGCAGCTCGAAGTCGGCGTCGACCTGGAGGGAAAAGGTCACCTCGGAGAGGTCCCTCCGCACACAGTACACGGTGAGCAGCATGGCCCGGGCCCGACCCAGCTCGGCTCGGCCCGGCCTCGGCGCTGGGCTGCGGGGCGGCGGCGGGGCCTGGCTGGAGCTGCGGGCGAACGGCGCGGGCTGCTCGCTCGCCCGCTTGCTCCTTCCCTCCCTCACACACGCTCAGTGACTCACTCCCTCCCGCCCTCACTACCAAGCACAGCCGCCGCCACCCGCCTGCGACTCCGTCTGCCTGCCTGCCGGCCTGCCTCCCACCGCTGCCGCCAAGCGCGCCAGCCGCCCAGCGCCCCGCCCCGCCGCAACGCGGCTGCCGTAAAGCTTGCCTCACCCTCTCTGCCTTCGCGACGCAGAGAAGGGGCGGGCCGGGAAGAGGAAGCGGGAAGCTAGGAGAGGATTGGAGGGAAGGGAAGGCCTGGGAAGCCAGAGGGAGGAAGGGCGAGAAAAGGGGAGGGAAGGAAGGGACTGAGGGAAATCGATGAGTGAGTTAATAGACGAAGTCGGTGGCGGACACCACGATCTCATTCACCCAAATGAGGCATTTATTAAGCGCCGACCATGTGGATACAAAAATGCGTAAAAACACAGGTCTTTCTTTGCCCTTAAGGAACTCTCACGCAACGAAGCAGAGTTCTAAAATGTATTTACCAAGTAGAAATTGAGGCTGAGAGAGATTAATTCACTTCTTGTCCCAGTGATTTAGGGTTAAAACCAAAATCATGACCCTGCCTAGTCTATAGAACCGAGCTTACTCTGGTCCCTGCAGACATCTTCAGACCTGCCTCTCAGCCCCTTCCTGCACTCTGCCCACCCAACCACATTGGGACTTTCCGTTCCTCCGAGGCTCCATTCCCCTGCCTTGTAAAGTTTTCTTTCTACTTGGGACTGTCTCCTTCCTAGACCTAGCATGCCCCCAGCGCCTACTGCAGAGCCTTTATTGGGCACAGCTTAGAATCCACTCGATAAAGTATTGGCTACTTTAATGGCCTGTTCATGGCCAAGTAGCTGATGACTGGATAGAGGCCCAGAGCATGAGGATAAGGTCAGAAAACCAAAACTGATGCAAGAGTGGCATCTCCCTACTTAACCACTGCCCAATTCCCCATCCGTGGAGTAGGGACCCCTCTTCTGGTATAAGAGGAGGGAGGGAGAGACAGTGGCATCTGTTCAGTGAATCAATGATATCAGGGCCTGTATTTCTGTAAATATTTTGGCCTTTCCCGGAGGGTCACAATATGCCTGGCTGCCTCCACTCCATGCAGCATTTTCTTGTTTAAGGCAAGAGCTTGGCCAGAAGTCCTGCAGCAGGTTTCTATTTACATCTCTCTGGCCAGGACAGCGCCACAGAGATGCAAGCAAGGCTAGGAAACTGACTGTTTAGCTTTTCTCACCTCTAGGAAACTGATTGTTTAGCTTTTCTCACCTCTTTAAAGGACATGGACACGAGTAAAAGGTTTTGGGAACAGGTGTTAGGTGAGACCTACATAGTCTACTACAGCAGAGAATATTTGAAATAACCATTGCAAATTGAAGCAAGTTGAATAGAGAAATGATGTAGAATTGTCAGGTGGTGTTAAGGATTCAACTGAGGTTGGAATCACAAATTGATTAATTTTTCTGTGTCACATCTTTTTTTCTAGTGGTGCTCATGTGCCCGGGTGTGACAGATTTTATTTTCTAAAGATGGCCACGATAGTATCTCCTATCTTACATGTTCTTCGTACAATGTGACCGTAACATTCCTCCTATTGAGAGATGGGGTGTATGTCTCTCCATTTGAATCATGGCTGACTGACCCTGGTATAAATGTCATGGTGTGACTTCTGAGGCTAGATTATAAATGGCAATATAGCTTCTGCCTGGCTCTCTGGGAACACTTGGTCTTAGAACCCAGCAGCCATGTTGTGAGGAAACCCAAACCACATGGAGAGAACATGTGTGGATGTTCCAGGCAACAACCTAGATGAGATCAAAGCCAATTCCTAGGAAAACCACAAAAGATACTTGCAGTTTGTTTCAACCCCAGACATTGAGCCATCTCCGGCATCTGGGTCTTTCCAGCAGAGGTCTCAGATGCCATGGGGCCATCTCCACTGTACTCTTTTTGAATTCCCAACCCACAAATCTGTGAGTATAATACAATGATTATTTTGCATGACTAAGTTTGAGGTGGTTTGTAACAAAGCAACAATAAATGGTACACTGAATACAGTCTCTCTTTATATATGTATAAACATAAATATGTATACACACATATCACATCTTCTTTATCTATTAATCTATCAACGGACACTTGGGCTGCTCATAGTTTGGCTGTTATTTTTTTTTTAAGATTTTATTTATTTATTTGAGAGAGAGAGCATGAGTGGGAGGGGCAGAGGAAGAGGGAGAGAATCTCAAGCAGAGTCCCCACTGGGTGTGGAGCCCGACATGGGGCTTGATTCCGAACCCTGAGATCATGACCTGAGCGGAAAACAAGAGTTTGATGCTTAACCATCTGTGCCACCCAGGTGCCCCCATAGTTTGGCTATTGTAAATAATGCTGCAACAGACATAGGGGTGCATGTATCCCTCTGAATTAGTGTTTGTGAATTTTTTGGGTGAACACCCAGTTGTGTGATTACTGGATTGTAGGATTGTTCTATTTTTCTTTTTGAGGAACCTCCATACCATTTTCCACAGTGGCTGCACCAGTTTGCATTCCCACCAACAGTGCAAGAAGGTTCCTTTTTCTCCACATCCTTGCTAACACTTGTTTCTTGTTTTTGATTTTAGCCTTTCTGACAAGTGTGAGGTGATTTCTCATTGTGGCTTTGATTTGCATTTCCCCAATGATGAGTGATGTTGAGCCTCTTTTCATGTGTCTAATTGGCCACGTGTATATCTTCTTTGGAGACATGTCTGTTCATGTCTTCTGCTCATTTTTTGGTAGGGTTATTTGTTTTTTGGGTGTTGAGTTGTATCAGTCCTTTATATATTCTGGATACTAACCCATTATCAGATATATCATTTGCAGAGATTACTTACTTAAATTAAAAAAAAAAAAAGGTGAGAGAGAGGGGCACTTGGGTGGCTCAGTTGGTTAAGCATCTGCCTTCGGCTCGAGGTTATAGTCTCCGGGTCCTGGAATCGAGCCCCACGTCGAGATCCCTGCTCAGCAGGGAGCCTGCACCTCCCTCTCCCTCTGTGCGCTTTCTCAAATAAATAAATAAGATATTTAAAAAATGGTGAGAGTGGACATCCTTCTCTTGTTCCTGACCTTAGGGGAAAAGCTCCTGGCTTTTCACACTGAGTATGGTGTTGGCTATGGGTTTTTCATATAGAACTCTTATTATGTAAAAGTAGGGATCTCACCCCTTTTGGACTCTGCTCAGTTGCTTCTTGATCTGGTTCAGAGTGTGGGCTCTCACTTCTCTCGTCACTCTATGAGACTTTGCATCTTCATTACTCATGATCACAAATGGCTTGAGACATCTCCAGGCCATAATTCTAAGCGAGGTTGGGTTGGGGGGACCTTGAGAGAAAGCCTAGACAAGAAGGATACCCTTGATTCCCATGTATCAGTCAGTACTGTATGTCAAGAAACTTGCAAACGATTGCTAACATTTACTGTAATGCTAACTTTGTGCCAGGCACTCTTCTAAGCACTTTATGTGTTGAGTCATTGAATCCTCACAAAAATCCTATGAGGTATTATCTCCATTCTACAGATGAAGAAACTCAGGCATAGAGAGGTCAGTCCTTTGCCCAAGGACATACAAGTAGTAAATGGCGGTCCCAGGATTCAAACCAGGCAATTTGACTTGAGTCCACACTTTTTTTCAAAGTTTATTTATTTATTTAAGTGATCTATACACCCAATGTGGGGCTCGAACTCACAACCCAGAGATGAAGAGTTGCATGCTCTTCTCACTGAGCCAGCCAGGCGCCCCACAAGTCCACAGTCTTAACCACTACTTTACACAGCTACATGTAAGACCTCATTTCATCCTTCTGAAAGTCCTCAGAGATAGGAACTACAGGTTTCCCCTGTTATCTGAAACTAGATGGTTCCTATGAAACCTTTTGTAAACTGAAATGGTGCAAAATGAAGAAGTGATTACCATTTCATAAAATCAAAAATCCTTTTCAGATTTCTTTTGGTCAGTGAAAACAAGTACTAATGTGTGTCTTCTGTAAAATTGAAGTTTCATAAAGCAAACTTTTGGATAGCAGGGGAATCCTGTATTTGTATTCATTCCCATTTCATGGATAAGGAAATTGAGGTGTGGGAATTTTAATCAACTTGCCCAGGTTCATACAGCTAGTGAACAGCAGGTTCTCCAAGCTGTTAAAAATCTTAAGAACAAAAACATCTATTTCCAACCTTTAACTAGAGCACCAGCATTCTGCCTGCACACTACGTGTGGAGACACCTGGCTGTGCTCCAAAACCCTTTCAACACCATATGGTCACCACCAGCAAAGTTTCTGCCTACTTCTAGGTTCTTGCCTAATTCTTCTCTACCAGGAAGAACAAATTGGTAAAGGCATTTACCCTTACTGATTTTTAAAAGTCCTACAATTGGTGGGCGCCTGGGTGGCTCAGTCAGGCGTCTGCCTTTGGCTTGGGTCATGATCCCAGGATCCTGGGATTGAGTCCTGCATTGGGCTCCCTGCTCAGCGGGGAGTCTGCTTCTCCCTCTGCTCCTCCCCCACCCCCACCCCCACTCATATTCGCTCTTTCTCTCTCTCTCGCAAAAATAAATAAAATCTTAAAAAAAAAATAAAACTCCTACAATAGGGACTAAATCCCCAAACACTCTAAGTACTTGCTTTTTTTTAAGCAGTATATATTGTTCTTTGAATTTTTCCCTCATCATCAGTTCATGGTTGCTCAAAGAAGTCTCTCTTACCTTGCTGTTCCTGGCATGTCAACTAATAGCGGATAGTGCTCCATTTTACTCATTTTACCTTAACACAAAAACTCTTCTCACTCGGTTTCCTATTTCTTAGGCCAGGATCATGTGCAGAGGTATAATGCAATGCCTCCTCCCTTTCCTGCTTATCTTTCCTAAAATCTGATAGCATTTCAGTTCCACTATATTCTAGGTCAATTCTTCCTCTTCATTTCCAGTGTAGCGTGTACTCATTGGGTTATCAAAACATTGCAGGTAATTATGGTTGTAATTTCAAGCACCATAATTTGCCTACTCAG